TACAGAGCATTTATTGCATCCTCCCCGAGAGGAGTACATTGTACCGTCGGCATCCCGATGACCCAGCATTGATTGCTCGGGACCCCGAGCAGTTAAGAAGAGAAGACATTCCTCATCAGAATCAGTGCGCACACTGCCTGTACCTAATGATCACCTACTGACTACACTGACAACAATCATGAGTTTTTGAGGTATAAATACTCCTTGCAAAAAGACAAAACGGGCATGCAACGAAAAACTCTTTACTATAATACACACTCAGTGTTTTCTCCTTCCTCTCTCTCTCTCAAAGACTGATTAGATCGTCGGAGGGAATACGCCGAAAAACACTCCGGCGCCCTTTTAACTTGTTCTTCTTTGTTTCAGGAACCTCTTTCAGCCTTACAGGATCGTTCTTCCATTCCCAGGGTCTCCCGTTGTCGTTCCAGGTTACCACCGGACCCCGCANACATTTGTTATGTTTTTAATGATCGAGAACCATTATTGTTAAGTATTATCTAAACTCGTAGCTACTATATAAATGATGGGACTTTTCTGAGATACTCCATGATGAAGACACGTGTTCTCGGTATTACCAAAATACTGTTGATAAGATCAAGTACTATCGGCGCGCAAAGGTCCTCGCCCCCGAGGTACTCGTCATATAGGATCATGCGTTCAGTATGTTTTACAACCAACACGTGGCCTCGGTCTGATATGTACCTCGGTCGGCATACCTCCCTCGGTCCCCGAGATGAGCCTTTCCTCGGTGCCGAGAGGTACCCCGTCCTGGACACTTCCTCTACTCCAGGATAAGCTATTGACGTACAGGTCATTAGCCTAGGCTATTCATCATGACCTCGTCTTACACAATTAGTGTCAGAACGTACTGGAATGCAGGGGTCACAGCCAATAAGAGATGGACGCGTGGCAAATGATATCACATCGAAACAGAGAAAACGCATGTCGTTGCTGACACACGACTTGGGAAAGCAAACAATTAATTGCACCATTCCCTTGATGAGACCGCATTCAATGCGGTAAGGCTCGGAAATGAAAGGCAATAAATGCTCCTAATACAGAGCATTTATTGCATCCTCCCCGAGAGGAGTACATTGTACCGTCGGCATCCCGATGACCCAGCATTGATTGCTCGGGACCCCGAGCAGTTAAGAAGAGAAGACATTCCTCATCAGAATCAGTGCGCACACTGCCTGTACCTAATGATCACCTACTGACTACACTGACAACAATCATGAGTTTTTGAGGTATAAATACTCCTTGCAAAAAGACAAAACGGGCATGCAACGAAAAACTCTTTACTATAATACACACTCAGTGTTTTCTCCTTCCTCTCTCTCTCTCAAAGACTGATTAGATCGTCGGAGGGAATACGCCGAAAAACACTCCGGCGCCCTTTTAACTTGTTCTTCTTTGTTTCAGGAACCTCTTTCAGCCTTACAGGATCGTTCTTCCATTCCCAGGGTCTCCCGTTGTCGTTCCAGGTTACCACCGGACCCCGCAGGCTGTTCCAAGCAGCGTGTTTGGTCACTCAACCGGTTCACTCGAATTCATCAAGGGAGAGATCTGTTCTCGTTTTTTATATTGTGCAGGATCTTGCACGCACAATAAATTCGAAAATAAGCATACATAATTGCTTATATATTACATGCACCTAATTATCCAAATACACTATTAAATCCTGATATGCAAGCTGGCGAGAGGATAAATAATAATTTGATATTTTTTGAGGGGAAGCAAGGGTTATTTCTGAATAAATCATGTCTCCATAATACAAACCATCCTCCTCTGCTACGTGTTACGTAGAGAGACGGCAAATGAGTCAAAAGGCACCAACTACATTGTTTGAAGTTTGAACTTAAGGTTTGAATGTTGTGGACTATGTTCACATTCACTTGTATTTATATTTCCCTAATCACCCCTTGTCTTCCGTCCTTTTCCCACTAGAATCTCTCTCTCAGTCTCTCTCATACAAGTTCGGCAATATTTTTCATAAAAGAGAATACCTTTAGAGTCGCCCAATAAATAAGTTTCTCTTCTTCTTTTTTTATGAATTGAATCCAATAAATGATATGAAACGGAACCGATTAAACACGATGCGAACCAATAAATATAATTTATACGAGACTTATGCATAACACAATTTTGATACAACATAAATCAGAATATACAAAAATCTAAATGGGTAGGGTATATACAGTAGACTGAGCAAATTTTAAAACGATTCAACTTTATTATGATAAGAATCTGACATGACACAATCTACTGCCAGCTTTAATCATATTTAGGAGTGTTCAAGGGTCGAGCCTGGCTAGTGTAGGCCAAAGCCCTTATCCAAACAAGTTATAGGGCAGGCTGGGGCGGGCTTCGGGTAAAGGTAGACTACACACAATCTAACCTGTGAGCCTATTTGGCAGGCTTATTGGGCGGGCCTGTTCGCAGACTTTTTTATATACAACTTTATTTAAAAATAATTAATATTTTTGTAACTCAATATTTGTGTAAATTATATTTTTGAATCAAAAGTAGAGTTAAAATGCATAAAAATAAAATAATAAATAATTTTATTTTTAATTAGGGGATGAACTACATCCTAACTAAGTTGACAGTTACTTACTTATCTATCATTTGTATTAATCTATCCTTTAAAATTTGTATGTTTAATACATAAAAAATAAAATAATACATTATTTATAGTATCTAAAATTTTAAAACTTCAAATTCCGACGTTGAAAGACTTATTTCAAAGTTTTAAATTTAATAGTCTAAAAGTATAATTTTTCAAATAAATGGTAGGCAAGCTATGTGGGTGGGTTGGGCTCGACGGACAGGCTCTTGGGCGAGGTAATAGTCTATTGACTTTCAGACTTATTTTTTTTGCCTAAATAACAAATTTTATGTGTAACCTGACTCGTAGACACCCCTAATCATATTGAATTCACATGTTAAATGAATGACCCGCCTAACAATAAATGATTCAAGATAAATATAATAATTATAATTTATACATGAAATGAATTCGATACAATATAGACTTAGTTATACCAGATTATAAATTAGTTGGATATGAATTGCATTGTGTATGCAACAAAAGCAGAGAGAAGAAATATGACATTTCACTACAACAACCTAACCAGGTGTTGTTAATTAATACCCACCACTACCAACCAAACACCAACTAAGACCGAACTGAAAAGCACATAAAAAATGAACCACGTGATCGACTATGCTGCATGACGTCACCCATGACCTCATACATTTGCCAGGTCGCAACCTCTTTTTTTTTTTTTTATTACACGCGCCTTATCCGCTAAATTTGTCACCGAGGACGCCACGTGGCGACATAGAAAGTGGGCCCCATGATTTTCGAGGTGATATATTCCCCTACTTGACGGACCACGGAGCCAATCTTATGTCAGCCGTTGGATTTACGTCTGTAACGTGGACTTGGTCCGAATTGCCACGTGGCGAACTCCTAAGAAAACAGCGCGTGACCGAACTGTGTTTTTGCCAGCTGGCACCACGAGGTGCCTACTCGACGACCTTATCCTCTTCTACTTTTTTATTTTTTTGGTACTTTTTTATGAAAATGAAAGAAAACATTGAATAGAGATGGATTGAAGTGAATTTTAGAGAGAGAAAGTGAGAGGGGACAGAAGAAATATCCAGATTTGAGAGAGAGAGAGAGAGAGAGAGAGAGGCAAAACCCATGATTTCTTTGTGAGAGAGGCAAAACCCAAGATTTCTTTCTGACTGAGAACAGAGTTTTTGGATTTTCACTTTCAGATCCTAAAAGAGCGGTAGAAATTTATGATCATTACACACAGAGGTCAGTTACAAATTCCCATTTTTATCTCTCTTTTTTTTCTGTATTTTATTACAGACGTTTCAAATAATATTTGATATCTTTTGCTGATAATCTGCTGCATGAGTTATATATGTGTTTGTGGATTAACTATAGAAATCATGTGCTTAAAGAATGGATTTTTTCTTACTTTATTCGGCATTTGGGTTTCTGTTTTATTGGATGAATCTATTTATTGTTTTAGCTTTGAAGTGTCAATTCAATGTTATGATTCTGTTCTTTTGGATAATACTCATTTCAGATCAAGCGTAATTGTACCCGGTTGCACCTTGAAAGGAGAAATTTTGGGTGTGTTTGTTGTGATTTGGAGGACTTGTGTTGGGGTTTTGGATACTAAGAAGTGGTAAAGATGATGTCAAGATCGTATACAAATTTATTAGATCTTGCATCCGGGAATTTCCCGGTAATGGGGCGTGAAAAGAAGCGCCTTCCTCGGGTAATGACTGTCCCCGGGGTTATATCTGAGCTTGATGATGATCAAGCTAATAGTGTTTCGTCAGATGTCCCGTCGTCTCTTGTTGATGACCGGCTAATTATTGTGGCTAATCAGTTGCCTGTAAAAGCTAAGCGTAGACCAGATAATAAAGGGTGGAGTTTTAGTTGGGATGAGGATTCTTTGTTATTGCACATAAAGGATGGGTTGCCGGAGGATATGGAGGTTATTTACATAGGTTTGTTGAGGGTTGAGGTTGATTCTAGTGAACAAGATGACGTGTCACAGATTTTGTTGGATAGATTTAAGTGCGTTCCAGCTTTTCTGCCTCCTGACATTTTGGCGAAATATTATCATGGTTTTTGTAAGCAGCATTTATGGCCGCTTTTCCATTACATGCTACCGTTTTCTGCCAGTCATGGTGGGCAGTTTGATCGGTCATTGTGGGAGGCCTATGTTGCTGCGAATAAGATTTTTTCGCAAAAGGTAATTGAGGTAATTAATCCGGATGACGACTATGTTTGGATTCATGACTATCATTTAATGGTTTTGCCTACCTTTTTGAGAAGGCGTTTCATAAAGTTACGGATGGGATTCTTTCTCCACAGTCCATTTCCCTCGTCGGAGATATACAGGACTCTGCCTGTCAGAGAAGAGATTCTCAAAGCACTACTGAATTCCGACCTTATTGGTTTCCATACCTTTGACTATGCTCGGCATTTCCTTTCTTGTTGTAGTCGGATGTTGGGTTTGGAGTATCAGTCGAAGAGGGGTTACATTGGGTTGGATTACTATGGAAGGACTGTTGGGATAAAGATTATGCCAGCTGGAATCCACATGGGGCATATTGAATCGGTGTTGAGACCTGCAGATAATGAATGGAGGGTGGGAGAGCTCAAACAGCAGTTTGAGGGAAAGACTCTGTTGCTTGGGGTTGATGATATGGATATCTTCAAAGGAGTCAATTTGAAACTTTTGGCTATGGAGCAGATGCTTGAGCAGCATCCGAAGTGGCAAGGAAGAGCGGTATTGATACAGATTGTGAATCCTGCTCGTGGGCGAGGGAAGGATGTTGAGGAAATAAAGGCTGAAATACAGGAAAGCTGCAAAAGAATAAATGAGAATTTTGGACAGCCTGGTTATGTACCAATTGTATTCGTTGATAGGCCAGTTTCTCTCAGTGAACGAGCTGCATACTACACTATTGCTGAGTGTGTTATTGTGACTGCTGTAAGAGATGGAATGAATCTTACTCCCTATGAGTACGTTATTTGCAGGGAGGGAATATCCGGATCTGATTCTAGTTCAGAATCAATTGGTCCCAAGAAGAGCATGTTAGTGGTATCGGAGTTCATTGGATGTTCTCCTTCACTTAGTGGTGCTATACGGGTCAACCCATGGAATGTTGAAGCAACTGCTGAAGCAATGAACGAGGCAATCTCATTAGCTGATGCTGAAAAGCAGTTGCGTCATGAGAAGCATTATAGATATGTTAGCACGCATGATGTGGCATACTGGTCAAGAAGCTTCTTCCAAGATCTGGAGAGAGCTTGCAAAGACCATTTCAGGCGACGGTGTTGGGGAATTGGTTTGGGCTTTGGTTTTAGAGTAGTAGCACTTGATCTTAACTTTAGAAAGTTGTCGATTGAAGCAATTGTATCAGCTTATTCGAGAGCCAAAAATAGGGCCATACTGTTCGATTATGATGGCACTGTGATGCCCAAAACATCCATCAACAAGACTCCCAGTCAGGAGGTTATCTCACTTATAAATACACTGTGCGGTGATGTCAAAAATACTGTTTTTGTCGTCAGTGGACGTGGTAGAGATAGCTTAGGAAAGTGGTTTTCTCCATGCAAAAAACTTGGTATTGCAGCCGAACATGGATACTTCTTGAGGTATGTTGTTTCTTTATTCCTTCACAATTTGTCCTTTTGATACTGTTACTGTTTCCCATTTCCTAATTGAACAGTATACCAGGTGGTCTGGGGATAAGAAATGGGAAATTTGCGGACAGAATGCCGATTTTGGGTGGATGGAAATGGCGGAGCCTGTGATGAAATTATATACAGAAGCAACTGATGGTTCTTCCATAGAAAAAAAGGAGAGTGCAATGGTTTGGCACCATCATGATGCCGACCCAGGGTTTGGATCCAGCCAGGCAAAGGAGATGTTAGACCATCTTGAAAGTGTGCTGGCAAACGAACCTGTTGCAGTGAAGAGTGGTCAGTTCATTGTGGAAGTAAAACCACAGGTATTTTAGGTCCCTGCACTGCATTTTTATCCGTGTTTTCTGAATAATGATTTATCCCATTTAATATATCAGATCTACTGCTTTAAGAGGATGCTTTTTCATCATCTTGCTCATTTTAAAATTCAGTATGGAGAAAAATAGTTACTTATGCAGATAGATTCTATTATTTTCTTGCATAGTGTAGATTCTTTGGAAGCCTACTCCATGCACATATTGACACAAACCGTTAATCCTTGTCTTTTAGCAAAACAGGATGAGAGGGTTCATACGGATATATTTTTTTTTTTTCTTAACTGTAAGAAGTCATGGAATGTGTTGGTGAAGGATTAATTCGTGGAATGTTTTATGAGGGCTTGCGATTGAAAACCTGGCAATTGATTCTTAATTCACTTGTGCCATAAGGTATGACTAAATTGGAAAAATCTTGTTGGTAATTGGATAGCGACATGGCCAACTTCAAACATGACTACCACTTCAACGAATACTTCTAATTTGACTAAATGATTATTCTCTGATGATTCACCCTCTCTGTAAGTAGGACATATTTGAAGAGAAAGAAGGTGATTGTTGTAGTGCTGCCTCTCCTTGGAACTGTGGTTACTGTTTTAGTTTATGATTACTGATGACCTGATCATTAAAAATTCATTTTTTGCACATTTATATATACCTCCTTGATTATGTGATTCCCTAGTGTTTGTGTATTATCATTTGCAGACATGAAGTATGATGTTATAGGCCTTTGATGGTTGCCTTATTTTTCTGTGTACCCTGATGAAACAGAAATTTCCGGTTGGGAATAATGTTCCTGTGACGGGCCATTAGGGAACCGTACACTTTTAAAGCAGTACAATCTCTGCTGCCTATATGTCATTAGAGAATCATTATTTGGCCTAATAAAGGGGAAAAGCCTATTGAGAACCTTGTGGCATTAAATGCATGCAAGCCTGAAGCATGCCCCCCTTGAAATACCCAATTTTTTTTATCATATGTCTACCTGTTAACGGCTGCCCTGTGGAGTTAGAGAGGGACCAAAATTAATGTTGTCTGAGATGGTAAACAAGGATATGGCTACTTGTTGCTAGACCGAGTATAATGGCATAATGAGATTCGTGTAACCTGTCCCCAATAGTTGAAACATGATTTTTATTGAGTTTGAGTTGTATGTGGCTAGATCATAGTGAGAGTATGCATCCATTTAGGAAATAGAGAAACAAATATGAATGATGAGGGCCAGGTTTATGATGTAATGCTAACAGGCTGTTTATGATTGGCACTAGAAAAGATGGGAAACATGAGATTCTTTCTTGAGTTTTGTATTAAAAAAGGTGGAAAGCAGTTAGAAAAGGGAAAATTGATAGAATAAGATAATGGAAAATTATACATGCAATAAATAAGCAAAAGGGGAAATTCCAAAATAAATTGAAGGGCAAAGGCTAATAGCTCTGCTGCCTTTGCAACGAAAGAAGATGATGTCACCTTTCTTGATCAATCTGCTTGTATGGTGAATGGAAAGAAGATAATTGACAGTTCTTACATCGTTCAATTGGGCTTTACGTTAAATGCATTAATTTATCATAAAAAAGGTATGAAGAACCATAATAACTCGTATTCATTCTCATATCTAACTCGTATCTGATCCACCTAATGTGTAGAACGACGGAACTAGAAAACTTGTTAGCTATTATTCTTTGCTTCCCTTCCACAGGACACTAGTTCACTCCTTGAGTTTGCCTTTGGTGGTAGTAGACCACCTTATTAGGAAGTATTTTATGTTACTTCTTTAGATACTAGGATGCTATGTTATTCCCTTCTATGGCTTAACTAGTACCGTTCTTCGCCCCCCACCCCCCCCCCCCCCCCNTATGTTACTTCTTTAGATACTAGGATGCTATGTTATTCCCTTCTATGGCTTAACTAGTACCGTTCTTCGCCCCCAACCCCCCCCCCCCTCCTTTTCTTTTTTCCCCAAAAAAAGGACAATCCAACAAAAATAAGCATGTGATGACTTCTACCATAGCCAGGGGCAGAGCCAAAAAATTTTGTCAGGGTGAGCTCGAATATTTCAACAAATTATTACATTTTTTTTTTTACAATTGATAGAAATAGGACAATAATTTATTTAATTACATCTTATTTAATACTTAAAAATTCATTAAACCTACCGTACCGAAAATTGGTAAGCCTAGTATATACAAACGATAATATTTTTTTTTTTACAAAATATTAAGTAATTAAAATTATTTAGAATTGACTTAGGTTAATTTTTGTACTTTGAAAATGTTGCATAACAACTTTATTATTCTTTAGATACATAATCATGTTATCATTTTGGTATTTGTAACTCATTTAATCGATTATGTTGTTCAATGTGTACTCTATAATTTTTATCATAATTAGCAAAAATAAATATCAAAATCACAAGTAAACTAGCGAATATGTATATCATGTTTTTTTTAGTCTTAGAAAATATAAAATAATTCTAGTATATTCAAAATTTATCTAGATAGGTACATAAATTGTCCAAAATGTGTCAAAAAATTCATATTTATTTGATATAAATATACACTAATTGATGTGCCAAAAAAATAGGGATGACATAATTAAAATTATTCATTTGATATAAGTGTATATTAATTGATGTGCTAAAAAAATAGGTTGGGCATAATTAAAAATATTAAAGAAATACTTAAAATACATATTCACTATATTATAATGGTGGGCCTGATATTTTTGTCTTTGATTTTGGATGGGTACAAATAATATATTATACAAATATACAATATACATACCTAAGTAATAAAAAAAAAAAAATTTGAGGGTGGGGCACTTGCCCACCCTGGAACAGGGCTGCCTCCGCCCTAGGCCATAGCATCATAAGAGGGCCATATTTAATAGTTTAATACCTATGTAATAAATTGTCTATTTTTGGTCCATATATCTTCAGTAGGTTGGAGTAACCCTCTATGACTTCCAACATACATTTCACAGACATGAAGACACATTTTGGATGATCAGAGTCTGATTAAAACTGTTTCTACTAAAACATTTGAAACTCTTGTCAGATGGTTTATTCCAGCAACTGGATGTTTGAACTGTATTTTGATGATATTTTTGGAATGCTAAATCTTAGTATTTATTGTTGATTGTGATTTTAGGGAGTCAGTAAAGGTCTAGTTGCTGAGAAGATTTTCACATCAATGGCCGAGAGTGGAAAACAAGCTGATTTTGTACTATGTATTGGCGATGATAGATCTGATGAGGACATGTTTGAGATAATTGGCAGTGCAGTGAACAGTGGCGTTCTTTCCTCTAATAGTTCAGTGTTTGCTTGCACTGTGGGACAGAAACCAAGTAAAGCTAAATACTATTTGGATGACACAAATGAGGTCAGAACCATGCTCGAAGGTCTTGCAGAAGCCTCGGACCCTGTACCCTCAACAGAAGTTGAAGCAGGAGGGTCTGCTTAAAGTGGTTACCTTATTGGCATTCTTATCTGGGAAAACTTCAGTACGCCATAAAGAAAATGATGGAAGAGACATTGTATAGCCTTCTTTTGATTGCCGGTCCAGAATATTAGCTGCTTGTACTTAAATCTGAGTAAACGGTGGTCACTTGGTTGAGAGCAAGATTTAAGTGGTATATAATTTGAATTCATCGGCTCAGACAATTGAAAGAAAGCAGGAGTTACTGGATCCAGTCATGGAAGATTGACCCGGAACTGAAAGAAATGTCCAAGAGGTTGTATTCATTAATGACTTTTTATATTGCCGGTACGTGAAGGTCACCAGGCTTGCCTGATGCAGTTTACATAGATTCCCAGAGCTTGTTTGCTGGCATACATTTCACTAACACAATTGGACATAGCTAGACTCTATACAAGTTATTTTTTACTTTTTTAGATTCTTTTTTCTTTTTGGTTTTAACATTTAATAACTGAGCTGAATTTGTTGGATCATCAAATCTGTACATCCTATACAAATTAATCCTTAAGTTCATTATCTGTTTGCTACCTAGGAAAATTGGGTTCTTAATTGCATGTCATTGTTTGAAGACCAACCTAAGAAAAGCTCAGAAAAATGAGTGTCTTGGTTTTGTTGTTTCTGTTTGGTTTATGGGTTGGTTGTTTGTTGATCCGAGTTTTGTCGCAGTTACTGGTTTTTTATGCTGATGCAGTTGTGCTTTCTCTACTGTTGATATGTTTGATTTGATTTATGCTACCTGGCTGTTTTTGAACTTTGAAGGCTTATTGTAGTTGCTATGACTGTATATCTATTGACCTACTTGATATTGGGCACCTTGACACAGCCATAAGGTTGTATCACTGTGAACTGGGTGGCCTGAAAAGAGCCCCTGACCATGGCAGGAGCTCCGTGCGCGGGAAAAACTGTTGTAGGGGTTAAGTTGGGAGTCTATTAAGCTTGCATGTGGGATCTTTGTTCCAACACTCTGTTTTTAAGTTGTAGCAGCTCATGATCCAGTCACAACCTAAAAAAAGGTCGATGTAGTCCACGAGGGTTTTGTTATTGTGGGGTAAGGAGGGCTGGATGTATCCAGACTTATCTCTACAAGTGCAGAGGTTATTTACCTGATTTGAAACCAGCTTAAAATATATATATTTTTCTTGAAAATTATTTTCTTGTAAACTATTTTTGTTCAATGTTCCATCACTCACCATAAATTCATATTGGAGCCACTATCAATGCAAAGTGTTAGATGTGCCATTGATGTGTGTGTGTGGCTCTCTCTCTCTCCATACCCAATTACAAATTTTTTTGTGAAAGGGAAGATAGATCTTGGTGTATCATGATATGAACCCATTGTATGTTGGACCATCTTGCCACAGGGTATCCCCATAGAAGAACCCATATTTTGTTGCTTGTCTACAGCCAGACAGTTGTATCCAAGATGATCTACCATCTTTTAGGAGTATAGATCTACATTTAAGAAGTGGCAAATCTTGTCCCCATTTCTTACATTTTTTTAGGACTATTGCTTTTATTTACAGCCTGGCCCATTTAAATAATTTCTACAATGGGCTTGACAAGAACAAGGGTTTGTTAGAAGAAAGAATATCAATTTTGTGAAGCTTTAATGGTTTTACAAACACTAAATGTAGAACTTGGATCTAGATTCACTCGGTACAATTTCTTTTTAATTCTCTTGATCTTAGATTCCCTTTGAAACTTTCTTACTTAATGTGGGGGACCGTTCAAGTTATTCCCTTCCTGAAACTGTTTACTTTCAATTACGACACTATTGAACACTGATTTTGATCATAACGAGTTGATCTAACAGAACCAAAACTTCCACATCAACTATCAACTACGTGAAGATTCAAGAATTCTTAAATATAAAATGTCGAACCCAAATCTAGACATACCATGATATACTTTTTCTCCTTTTAAGTCCTTTATTTTTTAATCAACTATTGTGAAGTTAAGTGGAATCTACTGTATTCAAGTAGATCTACTATAGATACTCGATGGGTGATTTAGCAAGGAAATTGAAAAAAAAGGGTATTGTTTAAAATATGAATCCTGTCAAACTCACATAAAACCAAAAGTCTGATTCTTCTCACCCCCCTTGCTTTGTTAACCACCATTCTAGAGAGAGTATTCTATTTTGATGCTTATTGCAACAAAAGTTTTGTTTAGTGGGAGAGGGCCCTTCACAGTCCTGTCCTCTTCCATGATTGTCTGAACCATTTTCTGTCCAGACAATGACAAGTACTGTTTGATAATATGAGCACATGGCAGGGTGCTGTAAGGTTTTCAACATTCTGGTTAGCTCGAACTTGAACACACCCAGTTCAGACATAATGTCCAGGACACCCTTAAATCATTCAGGAACCAGTTTGTCTCCTATTGAATCTTTTCTTTGCAGACATGTATTTTGTTTGGTGAGAACTCCTATGCTCTATAGCAGAAGTGGTGTTCCTCAAATTCTAGTTAGTGCGTATACCACAAAAACAAGAAAATTGAGTTTGAATCGTTTGGGAATTTCCCAAACTATAGAGCGTGAAGTTCGACGCATCAAAACATACAAAGTCGAGCGGTAAAATTGCCATTCTCATCGTGTTGGTGTAATGGGTTAATTCAACCGAGTCAGACTGACAGATGATACATGTATATAATTAACTTTCTATTTTCTCCTTATTTTTTTAAAAATATTTTATTAATTATTAATTTTAAAAAATTTTAGTATAAATTTAATTAATTTTATAATTTGACATTTTTGTGTCTGTAATTGTCTTATAATTAAATTTTGGGTCACTTTTTAAAAAATATTCCCACGAGCCGCCGCATTTCACCATCTAGCTATACCTTTTTGACTTTGGAGTACAAACTCAGAGATAAGGTGTGGGTCCAAATGCCTCTTATGAAATTCCTATTCTTGGACAATGTAACATGTGAGCTAGTAATCTAATACAGCCGTACAAGCCCCACGCGCCGCCGTAGCTCCCACTCTTTACAAATTCTATTGGGTTAATTACAAAATGTCTCCTTCAAAAATAGGTCATGTTGCAATCAGCTCCTTGTGATTTCAAATTTAAACAATTTGCCCCCTTAAAATTTGGGCAAGATTAAATTGACTCACAAAGTGGATGAGATATATAAAATAACCCCAACCTCTAATATATTCTCTTTCTTCTCTTCCTACCCAATACATTAAAACACAAGCCCTAAAGAATACATAACTCCAACCTCTTTCTTTAAATATGGCGGCCCTCAACCACTTACCTAACTCTCCCCCCCCCCTTTCCAAAAAGCCTCTTCCCTTACTTCAGTCGTACTCCAACCCTCATAGCTAACTCTAGCAACCCTTCACCTCCATCCCCAATGCTAGGGCAGTAGGCACCCCCTCACAATTCATTCTCAACCTTCATTGATGCTACCAATGTAGCACAACTACCATCAATTAAGCTTTGATTCCCTTATTCAGCACCCAACCTGCAGTAGATCTCTGATTCCACCCAATCCACTCCGATTCGATCAAAATCCCAAAAAAATATGTGAACTAACTCTGATTCAACCATGACTTGGAGCAAGCTCCAGCGGAAGGAAGAAAAGTGCAAATGTGACGGTTCACATACATTTTTTGTTTGGTAATTGCTAGTCGCAGATGGTCACCTCTGATGGGAGGGGTGGAGTTGTTTGTTATCAAGGGGATGGGCTAGACGATTAGGCGATGGTGGTTAGGTTTGATGGAGTGGGTGGGTGGAAGAGGGCGAAGGTCAGGGAGGGAGATGGGTTATTGAAGGGTTGTTGCCTAAAGGAAATTTGAGGAGTAAGGATCTTGTACCTAATGGGCTTGTGGGAATAGGACAATATAGGAGATGAGATAATTTTTAATTTTTTTTGTTAGAAAATAAGGGATCAAAAGGGTAAATATGTCTTTTAATGAAATTTAAGCTCACGTGGCCAACTTCATTCATTTTTTACCGTAAGAGTTAACGGCAATAGGTTAATTAATGTAATTATAAACTTGAGGGGGGTAAATTGTTTAAATTAAAATCACAAGAAGTTGATTGTAACATGACCTACACTTGCACGGAACATTTTGTAATTAACCCAAATTCTATTTCACTGTAGCTAGCGGACATGTTTGTTCAATGTATTAAAAGATGGGATTGGACTAAAATTAGTTTAATAATTGTTAGGAAAATTTAGAAGTCGGTCTCCCTAAATGAACTTGTTTGAAGATAAGTCCTGCAAGAAAATTTTTTTTGTTTGAAGTCCATTTTTTGCTTCTTTTAGTTACATACTCTTATTTTGTGGAAAACCTCAAACGGCGTCAAACTTACCGTTTGGTTTCTAAACTTAACTTTGCCTTCATTTCCAAACTGAACTTCCCCTTTATTCTTTTTGGCAACCCAATAACTTCTCCCTACATTCCAGGCGATGAATCCGGCCATAAACCGCAAATCTTTCTCATTAGCCTTCTCCGAAAAACCCAAGAACTCAAAATTTATCTCAAACCGAATCTATTTCAAATTTCAAACTTGTTTAAAACAAGAAAATCGAAAATCGGTTTTACTGTTTAAGATTCATTGACAAAAATCTATAGTTAATCTCGACATTCTTGAAATCTTCAAAAATCATTGGGATTCTTTAAAAATTTTAGAGGTATGTAATTTTACATAAACTTTGAAGTTTGTTTTAGGGTTTTAAAACATCATTTACACCCTATATCGTTCATAATGTCTAATTTTATTTTTTTTAATTTTTGAAAATAAATTGTGAGTTCTTGTTACTATATAAAATAGTTGGGTATTGTATTTTTTTTTCTCATTGTGTTACACATTCGGAATTGATTGATGAGGTTTCTTTGGAATGTCTAATGTTACTGTGAGAGCAATGTTCAAAATTTATTATCTTAATGTTGAACTCTTGATGTTATTGATATGTATTGAGTATCCTAATTAAACGATTAACATTGTTTTATCATTAGTCCATGAAAATAACATCAATTTTTGAATTATTTTTTACTATATTTTTTCAAAATTCAATGTTATTGTGCTTAATATGACATTGGGGATGAAGCTGTTTATGTTACTATTACTTAATCAATGTGTTATATAAGTAGTTGTGTAATTTGTTTGTTGCTTTCTTCGTTGTTCAAGCAATTCAAAAACTATTGATTGAAGAGTTCATTGAAACTTTTCTGGTTACTGTGTGATTTCATATTTTCAATGTATGGATTTACTTGGATACTATGGGTGTTACTAAATTATTGATGTTACTATAAATATGTTACTGACCAACCCCTTTGTGATTTTTAACTTTTAATGCATCATATGTTGTTAATGAAAAGTGAAGGGGTTATTGATTTTAAGTGCAAAATGAGAATTCAATGAATTTGCAATAGAATCACTCGTACATTGAAAAATGAAATTACCGAATTTTGTTTGTTTGATGTAACTAATTTAACCATTGACAGTGTGTTGCTACTAGGTTTTTTTTTTTTAAAAAAAATTTAATTTTTGGGTATTGTGGATGTTACTGGGAAATTGGTGTTATAAAAGATAGGTTACTGATGACAAGATGTTACTATTAATGTTACTGTGTAACTAACAGTTTTAGCACAACAGTCTCCTAACAATACTTGCAACAAACTAATAAGTTATCCTCCATCTGTTATAAACAATAAAACAAAAATAAAGAGAAAAATATAGAAAACCAAACATAATCAATTCTAATTCTAATAAATCAGAATCAGTAACATGAAAGCAGAAATTAGAACCTAAATTTAAAACAAAAAAAAATAACTCCGGTAAAAAACGTCACGATACGAATACCGGAAACTGACATTGAATTTCGGCAATAACAAAGGAAAAAAAAATAATAATAATAAATTCTAATTCAAAAAAAAAGCACGAACAGTAACTCTCATGACAAAACATTGCAATATGAAATTCCGGTAAGTAAAATAGAATTTCTGGCAAATGACGCTAAAACTGTTCAAAACAGTATTGTTATTCATATTATGTAAATCAGCAAATTACAATGAAAATACCTCAGCAAATAATAATGTTTCAGCACGAAGTGGAATCAAGAACCAACAAGTTAAAGTATAATCACAAAAAAGCAAAATTCAAATGCTGCTTGTATCACCTTCGGGCCTCCATATCAAACCCAGAAGTTTGTTACTCAAATGGTATATCAGACACATGAATTATGTTTGCTTCAGATTTTAAATTTGAATTTAAATTTTTAATGGAATCTTCTTATCTGAAATTGAGTAACAGACTACTAATTTTAACGTAATTCAAGCATAATATATTGATATATACGGTTTCCATAAAAAAGTGATTAGTTTATTACCATATATATCTCAACCATTTAACTTAGGGCTTTTCATAATTGACCAAAGTTAACACGGTTAGGGGTATTTTTGAGATAAAAAAAAAAGTGGACTTAAGTCAATATATATAATTTTCAAGATGGACTTAACTCCTTATAAGTTCCCTTATTTGACTTATCTCCAAACAAGTTCATATAGAGGGACTCACCCCCAATTTTCACTAATTATTATTATCAAATTTGAATCAAGTTATAAGATTCCTCGGTATTAAAGATATTTTAGTACTGGCCCAAATTCTAAACAATTATGTAGCATCCCATAACAAAAAAAAAAAAAAAGGTTTGAGGGATAATCGGGATGGAATCTTTGTTTAAGCATTATCGTAGCAATTGTACAGTAGACTTAGATGGGACGAAACTGCAGATGCTTTAGGCATGGCAGTGGACCGGGGGAAAACGAGTATTCGTCTAAACTCACCTTGTTTGGACCGGGGATAGATTATACGTATTGGATGGTAAACTTATACGAAAATACCTGTATAAATCCGTACAGGGATGGACTTACCCTTACCCCCGCCCCCGCTACCCGTTTTATATATATATATATACTCTCAAGTCCTAAACAGATAAGAGAAAATAAGATAGTTTTGTATTTCATTGTGGGTAGAAAAATTGTTGATGGAGGTTGATAAGTTTCTCTGCAAGAGTGAACTAAGAAATGAGGAGAATTATTGAATTAGCGAAATTTTAATTTTTCATTTTTTAACACTTTATGGCTATAATATGAATTGTAATAACAAAAATTCTTCTAGAAAACTTCAAGTGTAGTGTTATCATTTTTTTAGTTTAATTTTATGTTCATTTTCTTCCTTTCTCTCTAATAGTTCTGTTTCTTTTTTTGTGGTCCAATGACACTTTAAATAGAATAATATATTGTTTTATCTTTTACATTTTGTAATCTACATTATGTTGTGTTAGATTATTTAGAATGTTGTTGGATTATTTAAAATATTAAATTTATTTAAAATTTTAGATTATGTTAGTTGGGCTTGAGCTTAGGCTTGGGCGGATATGGGGACGAGGATTAAAAATTTACCCGCGGACGAAAATGGAGATGAAAACTATACCCGTTAACGGGAGTGGATCAGAGATGGACAGAATTTTTTTAAGCGGGTACGGGAATGAATATTATACTTCCCGCCCCTACTTCGGTCCAGTGACATTCCTAAGATGCTCTCAGACACTATCTCGATTCATAGCCTTAAATCGTACGTATCTCGAGTCATAGCCTTATCGTGATTCATAGCTGTCAGTAAAAACAAAAAAAGTTTCTATGAATTACATCGTACATGCTAACTTCGTGATAGGGGTGTAATTTGGGTTGGGTAACCTGATTTCAACTCAAACCCAACCCGAAAAAATTAGGATTTTGGCAAAGGTTTTTAATACTTGGATTGAACTTGGGTCAAAAATTTTCAATCCGAATTCAATTTGGGTTGGGCTCAGGTCAAGGTCTCGTGAATCCGAATTCAACCCGAACTCAATAAATTAAAAAAAAAAATTATATATATATTTAAAGCATTAGCACTAGTTTTTTTATTTTTGTTCTATCGTTCTCTGTCTCTCTCATTCTCTTTGCCTCTTTCGTTCTCTCATCGCCTCTCATTAAAAACTTGATTAAAATTATTGATTGTTAATTTAAGTGAATATTATATAATATATGTATTAGGTTTAGAACAACAAACTTATTTTGGGCTCTACCCGAATTCAACCCGAGTCCGCCCGAATTAAACTCGGGCAGTGCTCAGATTGAGTATCTCAATCCGAGGTACGGTTAAAATTAAGATTAAGATTAAAAATTATATACTTAAAATTAGACTAAAGTTGATTGTCCAACTCGCTCAAACTGCCCAAATTACACCCTTACTTTGTGGGCGGGGAAAAAACTTTAAACAGGTCACGATAAACTAGTGAAGCACAGATTTCGGTGGAAATTACTTTTCGTATACAATGGTTGATCTATAACACATTAAAATTAAACAAAAATATAATAGAAATTATACTAAAAGTTTTAAAAACACAAATCATTCACCGGATTTACCGCCGGAGACAGATATACCCGACTTTGTATCACCATGTTGCCGACCCTGAAGCCCGGAACCACCGTAAACGCCACCACAAAACCGCCGTCAGCCGCCGCAAACACATCATTATCAACGCTCTCCATGAACACTTCGGAAAATCTTGAACCCTTTCTCACTTGAAAAATACCCAGTTGTTGATCAAAAGAAAATGCCAAACAGTGCAAAATCCAAACCCTTCTCGCCATTTCCGCAAAAACCTTGAAAAATTCCGTTTCTGGGTACTCGCTGGAGTTGATCATCTTTCTCTGATTCAAATTCCCGGAAAATGAAGTCTCCATTTTCGGGTGAGTCAAACGGAGATACTTCGTCTTCAAGAACTTCCCAAACAGAGAATCCTCATTCTCTTTCAGAAATTGAATCGAACCCACTGATTTTAGCTTCTTGAACTGATCAAAGAAGAAAAATCGACCCTGATTATCATCTTGTAAAGACTCGATTAGGAGAGAGAAAGTTGGAATGTTGAACCCATCAAACATTTCTCTGCAAACAAATGACTCAAAAGCAAAACACTTGTGGTCTGTGTTCTTGAATGTGACTTCAGGCTCTATGGCTTTTGAAGCAGCTTCAATATCCCAATTTGCAGACTCCATTTCTCTGATCAAAAGCTTCACAAAGTTTCTTACAGATCTCAATACGTAGTTTAAAACCATGTTAAAGTCTTTTGGGTCTGAATTTGATGGATTCACATTGTCAAGAACAGAGAAACACCCACTTTCATTGAGTTTCTTCTCGAGTGACTTGTTGTTCAGAGTGGTGTCATTCAATTCTTCTTTCAGTGAAGAAATTTCAGAATCTTTGACTTCAATTTCAGACTCCATTTTCTTCATTGTGATCTCGTAAGTCTTCATGAGAGACTGTTGTTCTTGAATTTCTGCTAGTAACAGAGTCACATGGGGTGGTGAAGAATCGATTTTTTTCTTCAAGAAACTATATTTTAGCTCTGAAAGTGCTTTGAGTTCATTCACTACTGCTTGATCTGCAGACTGAACATGATCTACATTGTATGGAAACTGAGCTATTTGGAGCTCAGCATAAGAAGCTTCAACTGCAGAAATGGTGGCAAAGAGCTTGGCAATGAAGGCTTCAATGGCGGCTCTGTTCTTGAAACTGGCCTCATCAGTGTCTTCTTTTTCAAATTGTTGACTTGGGTCACAGCATTTGAGTTTTTCTTGAGGTATAATCAAGCAAAACCCATTGTTGGATAGAGACTTTGTGGATGTTTTGAGGCTGATGACTTTCTGGAATGTTTTTGCTAGTCTGCTTTTGGTTGGGGTTGAAGAGGGTTTGATTGAATCCATTAATTTTGGAGCTAAAATCAGAGAAAAATTGTGGAAATGGTTGGAGGCATGAAAGGGTTTGTGTATGAACACAAAAACGAGAAAAGGATTGTCTGAGAGAGAGAGAGGGTGTTTGGAGGAAAAGAAAATGTTACAAGATACAGAAAAGTAGTGGCAGTCCTTTGACTCTCTAGGTTGAAGCCGGAGATAGAGGTCGCGAAAGCAGGATTTAAAGCGCGGGAAAGAAAGATAAAGATCACTCTTTGGTATCTCAAATTTTCATTTATTAAACCACAATAACGATTAAGATTAATCAAATTTTAATCTATTTTAATCTAATGGCATAAAATTTATCCCAAAAATTCATTCCCCCTCAAAGACATTAGCTTTTGAGTAATGCACGGCCCTCCATATCTGACTACTCTACAAACATACTCTCTAATATCAAACAACTCTACTAATTCATACTTAACTCTCTCTTTTCTCTCCTCTACATCTCTCTATTTTCTTTATGTCTACTTTAATTTTAAATTATATAATTAAAAAAAATCTATTTAAAATATGATATTGTATGATTAATATTTAATTTTTTTTGTATTGCAGAGTGTCTTTATACACGAAGTTATTGCTAGTATTAAAATTGGATAGTGTTTTGTTTATATTGGATTAGTGTCAAAATTGATTCAAGAAATACAAGATTTATTTCTCAATTAAATAAATTTGAAAAAATCTCATTTTGTATACCGAAGATTTAAGATTTTTTATTTTATGCTCTCAAAGATTATATTTCTCATATTACACTCAAAATATATTAAAAATGTTACAATGTAATTTTTTCATTAATTTTCGTTACTTATTCTATGAAAAATCACTCTCATTAACATCTTGATGAATTGAGTAACAAAAATATCATATTACAAAATATTTAATACATTAAGGAAGAAATTTAAAAAATCTAATCTTTAACGATACATGTGGACCTTGGTCTTCTACATGCTACGTATTCATGAGTGTTTTTGCATATAACAACCGTTTGTTGCTAGAGAATATGTTTTTTTTTTATATTCTTCTTTTTTCCTCCCCTCTCATTCTTTGGCTTTTTAATGGATGCTTAATAAACTTTGGGTCCAATTTATCAGTGATTGTGTTGTGACTTTTTAGAACAACACAATCTCTAAGGGTCAAATTATGAGAGATTTATCTCTTGTGAATATCTTAATCCCGGCATGAATAACCTGTCTTTGACCAAACCGGATAAAAAATTAGTCAAGATATATATAAACTGGTACAGAAACTCTTAATCATTGAACCAAAATAAAAAATAGAACAGCATAGGTATGGAAGAAGTGACATTATTGACCATTGTTTGGCTTCACGATCAAGAACCATGATGTTTGGTAGCAAGAATCTATTATTCGGTAAGGCAAACTAGCACCAACAAAATTGGCTTTTAAAAAAGAATAAGAATAAAGTTAAGAATAAACAATATTATAATCAATGAAAAATAATACTTTTGATAGGAATTAATCAATTTAAGTCATATACTATGTATTCTTTTTAAAGGGAGTGGCAAATATAATCAGATACGACACTTTTGTAACTATGAAATATAAATTGTATTGAAATTGAATTATTTTTACGAATAGAGTAATGTTATTTATTTAGACCTAAAAATTTAACATAATTTGTTGATATAATGATGTAGTTTAATAGGAATCATTGGATCAACACCAAGTTCTAATGTTTGATGGGGCCTACAGTCAATCCAAATATCACTGTGAATTAGATCAATAAATTAGATTAAATTTTTAGATCCTAATAACATTGTTCAAGAAGATACCTTTTCAACACCAACTAGACCAAAAAGATGGTGTGGATGAAATAATGAATAAAAGATGAGGGAGTGGGGGGACACCATTGTTATTCCCAAATTTCTAGGGAGCATAACAATTGTCTTGATTTTAGTAAAATACAATAACAAAAAAAAATCATTTTATTATGTTTCAATTTGATTCTATGACCAGCTGCAACCCAATAACCAATTGATTTTGATTCTATAAATATTCCAATGAACACATTTTTGGTTGGTGCTAGAGTTTCATATCTCTTTGTTTTTTTTTTTTTTTTGCTCATGGAGGAGAGGAGGAAAACTTAAATATTCGCTCCCGAGTCACAATTCGTATAAATTTGAGATAATTTTGGGACTTTAAGATATTGACCTCGAAGCCTACCCAATCAAAGTACTAAGGTCTTTGCACAAAATTATCATATGTGTATGACTATTGTTGTCCATTGGATGGGCGAGTGATACCAGATCTCGGTGAGGTTATCTCATGGAATGGTCGGGACGTGAGCTTGACACTTAAACTTCCCAAAAAATCCGACCAAATTTATACCCAAAAAAAAAAAGTTACAATGATAAAAAAAAAAACCTGAAGTTTTGAGGGGTATTTTCCAACGGAAAAAGTATTTTCAATAAAATTGAGGGGTTTATAAGGCCAATAAAAAAATACAGAATCAGCCCCCCTGGAGAAAGTTTCAACACTCTGAGCATATGAATATTTAAAGATTGAAAACTACGTCTTCTTTAAGTTATCATAATAGACAATCAAGTTTCTCGTGCTTGACATAATAATACTAAGTAGATCATAATTTCTTCATGCACCACTACATTGTAAGGATTACATTGCTGCTAGAGAATGTATTGGTTTGTTGAAATTTAGTAATATTTTCCTTGGATTTAATAGGAATGGACATCATTCTTTTGAACAATGATTGCTTTTTCCTCCATTCCTTAGTTACATCGTTGTCATCGAACTAAATCTATCAACGGATTGGATTTAGATTGTATTTTTAATCTTTCAAATTGAAAACTCAATTATAATATTCTACTGATTTCGTCGTACAATTTATAAAATACATAAATATCAAAAATCTAAATTGAATCATACGACTCAATTGGAGATGCATTTCGACCCATTATTTAGCATTGATATATCTAAACCGAATTTGTAAAATATGACATAAGTGAATTTGGAGTTTTAGGGTAAAACTTAGGTTAAGACATACCAATATCAATATTGATTTAAGGCTCTATCTCAATTCTCGAAAGGGTAGGATTATTCCCACCCCAAAATATTCGTTCACCACTTTACTATTCCCATCCCATTCTTTATTCATTTGAGTGATTAGTTAACCTAACAGTCCCCACCTATGCCATCAAACCCACCCAGTACCCAAATCTCTACCACCCTACACCCACCATTACCACCACCCAGTTAACGATAACGTGGTAGAGAAGCAGAGTTGGGAATGATGTTGATTCTCCAAGGCGAAGATTTGAAGTGGAATTGAATTTCATCCATATGTTATGGAGATTCGGTGTTAGGAAAAAATATGGTGAATGAACTGGAAGAGTTAGGGCTTTATATTGTAGTTGAAAAGGTGGGAATTGAGGTTGCAAATACGTAGTATCAAAGTCATGGCCAACAAGTGATTTCAGAGTCATGGTCCAATCCATAATGTGAACTCGATTTTTTGTGCCGAATAAAATAACAATGATGATCATCTATTGTAAGTCTCATTCAAGAGAGAGATTGTTAAGATGTTGAACGAAACTCATATCGATTAGTGATGAGGGAGTCATGGGCCATAAAAGGGAGCGGGTCACTCTACCTACAAGGTGCGCTTTTTGGGCTAGAAACCATACCCAACACTTGATGTCAGAGCCATAGCCCAAGATACAATGTAAATTCAACTCTTTGTGCCGAATGAGATAACAGTGATGGTCATCCATTGTAAGTCTCATTAGAGAGGGAGATTATTGAGATATTGAACAAGTCTTATATCGATTGATGATACAGAATCATGGGCCATATAAAAGAACGAATCACTCTACCCATGAGTTGCATTTTTTGAGCTGAAAACCATGCCCAACACAAGTTTGGCCACATCCCAATTGAATTGAACTCTTGAAGTGATTGATTTAGTGAAAAGAATTGTTTCATTGATCTTGTTACAAGTGATGCTCTTTCAAATCATTGGGGAACAAGCAAATCCCAAATAAAAGTTTATAATCAATGGTGATGCAAAATAGGGCCAATCCATCTCAAAAAGTAGATTAATTATTGACATTGATTGGATTAAAATCAAATTCAATATATTTTTCTCAATTTTATCTTAATGAAAAATAACATATAGTATTTTAGTCGATGACTCACTTATATGTAATGCTTTTTAATTGGATTCATGATTAGTTATTTACCATTTAAAGAATTTAGAGAAAAATATATTGGAATGAATCTTTAATTTAAACCCGTAATCCAATTAAAAGATGAAATTAACCTTAAAAATGCGAACTCCAAAAGCAACTTAATTGCTAAAATTAACTAGGCATGACCATATAAATTAGAAATTGAATTTTTTATTTTTTATTTTTTATTTTTTGCCATTTTCTTTACAAAATATTTTCAAATAATACTTGTAAAATTTAGAAAATAAAAGTTTTTGGATACTTTCTGCCATAGATCTAATAAATTTTAAAGTTGCATGAACAAAACCAAGCAATGGACATTGCAATTGAAAAAACAAACAAACAAACAAAAACAAATCAGGATCATTCTAGGAAAATGCTGCAATGACAATAATGGTTTGTGCAAAAAGTTCAAGTCTCGTAAAATACATCTTAATTGACCCATGTATGTCAGTTGTCAATAACTATGCACACTCTGAGGTTACTTAACAAACTTAAAGTCCAAAGGACACATGATTTGGACGATTCTCGGTCAATTAAAAAAATGTTTTAATATGTAAATGTAATTAGTCGGTATTTCGGAGTAGATTCATATGAAAGTCATTTAGGTAAGACAAGAGTAAATTTACTATAACACTTTACTTGCTACATCTCAACTTCATTTTTAAGTAAAAGAAGCCATTAGGAATGTAATTTATGACTATCATTCTGAATGATAATGATTTACTCAGCTTGAACAACATTACTGTTTTTGTACATGTTGGTGAGTATTTTGATTCTACGTCATCGGTTCGGATTATGATACATATTGATAACTATAAAGTCCAAAATAAAAAGAATTAATATGAAGAATGACGGGAATTGGAAAAAACCGTCTTATTATTCCAGTATGAACATCACCAAACTATGTAAGCTCGTCCTCTCCCCTCTATACTTTTTCAAAAACAAAAACTCCTATCCCTATATATTTTTACCGTCAACTTAAAACTTAATTTTTTGGGTCCGTACTGAGTACGACATATGTTGTGGTCTCCTCTTTTCTTGAGTGAACCCGTTCAATTGATGTTTACATTCAAATACCATACAATAAGGTAGTTTAATCTCACTATGAAAATCCTCATATTGATGTAGTCCTTCACAAGACCCAAAAAAAAAATGATTTGCTCCAATATAATGCAATTCGCAATTGTGAACCATTTCATAACTATGTAAACGAATTCATATACAAGCCTGGCAGGTACATAACATAATAGTGAAAGACTTACATGAGAAGCTGAATTAGGGTTTGTTTTCAATTATTAGAGTAAGCAATAATGATAAAATGGCAATCACTTGACATAATTATTTTGTGTATAAGGATGAGAGAACCCGCGGGTGGGGGGTCGAATTTGATTTTTTTTTTTTTAAAGTTATTTCAGGTGATATTTTGCCACTAGAGATGTCAATGGACCGAAGCGGGGGCGGGGGGTATAGCCTTTATTCCCGTACCCGCTTAAAAAATCTTCGTCCATCCCCGATCCATCTCCGTTAGCGGGTATAATTTTCATCCCCATTCCCGTCCACGGGTAAATTTATAATCTCCATCCCCGTCCCCGCTTCCCCCGTACCCGCCCAAGCCCAAGCTCAAGCTCAAGCCCAAATTCAAGCCAATATAATCCAACAACATTATATATAACAAACAAAAAATTCGAACAACAACGAACAATATTTTCATAGCTAAATAGAATTACCACAACTGTTAATACTAACTTTAAATTATATTACGGTGAAACATGAACTATTAATGCTAACTTTAACTTTAAATTATAAAATTGTTAATGCAAGATTTACAGATGTAGCTAATAATGTCATACTGATATATGTATATGTATATAATAACGGGTAACAGGTAACGAGTAACGGGGACGGAGATGGGGGTAGGGGTAAGTCCATCCCCGCACGGATTTATATGGGTATTCTTGTATATGTCCACCGTCCAATACATATAGTTCATCCCCGGTCCAAACGGGACGGGTTTGAAAGAATACCCATTTTTTTTTGATCCACTGTCATCCCTATTTGCCGGTGAGTAAGAACTGCAATTCTTTCAAATTTAGGAAGAACTAATAAACAAATATAACAAAATACAATCACTGGTTTAGTATGCAGTCTATTTCATTTCTGTATTCAATCTTTTAGCTAGTTATATCATTTTAGACCCTGAAATTTTTTATTTCATCCAAATAATTTATGAGTTTAAATTACTATCCGAAATGGTTAAATGTGAACCACCTGACAGGAGACATGGCTATTTCATTTTTTTAGTTCAACGGTTAGAGGTGTTTGAGTTAATTTATACGTATCTTTACTAATTTTTTTCTCAGTCCGATCAAAAGCAAGTTGTCGGGACTAAGGTATTAATGAGAGATAAACTCTCATAACTTAATCTCAAAAAGTTGTCAAGATTCGAACTCATGACTACTTTTGTTGGTAATAAAAAAATTGTATTTCTTATTTAAAATCAAACCAAAATTTTAGAAAACTAAAGTGAAACTCTTACAAGCATAGAGAATAAATAAAATAGTAAATAAAATATTTCATTAACAGTTCATGTCGTGTAATAATATTAAATTGTTTAAGTCACATATCGTACTAAAATTTTTCCCAACTCATATATAGTCGAGTTCATTTCGTACTACATTAATTCAAAGTTGTTAATTTTGTATCGGTTTTGTTTTCGTACAAAATTAATATATAAATTTATTTATTTTTTTGCCTTATCTAGTCTTATCCTATTACTATTACTATTACTAGTAGGTGTTGTANGCTAATAATGTCATACTGATATATGTATATGTATATAATAACGGGTAACAGGTAACGAGTAACGGGGACGGAGATGGGGGTAGGGGTAAGTCCATCCCCGCACGGATTTATATGGGTATTCTTGTATATGTCCACCGTCCAATACATATAGTTCATCCCCGGTCCAAACGGGACGGGTTTGAAAGAATACCCATTTTTTTTTGATCCACTGTCATCCCTATTTGCCGGTGAGTAAGAACTGCAATTCTTTCAAATTTAGGAAGAACTAATAAACAAATATAACAAAATACAATCACTGGTTTAGTATGCAGTCTATTTCATTTCTGTATTCAATCTTTTAGCTAGTTATATCATTTTAGACCCTGAAATTTTTTATTTCATCCAAATAATTTATGAGTTTAAATTACTATCCGAAATGGTTAAATGTGAACCACCTGACAGGAGACATGGCTATTTCATTTTTTTAGTTCAACGGTTAGAGGTGTTTGAGTTAATTTATACGTATCTTTACTAATTTTTTTCTCAGTCCGATCAAAAGCAAGTTGTCGGGACTAAGGTATTAATGAGAGATAAACTCTCATAACTTAATCTCAAAAAGTTGTCAAGATTCGAACTCATGACTACTTTTGTTGGTAATAAAAAAATTGTATTTCTTATTTAAAATCAAACCAAAATTTTAGAAAACTAAAGTGAAACTCTTACAAGCATAGAGAATAAATAAAATAGTAAATAAAATATTTCATTAACAGTTCATGTCGTGTAATAATATTAAATTGTTTAAGTCACATATCGTACTAAAATTTTTCCCAACTCATATATAGTCGAGTTCATTTCGTACTACATTAATTCAAAGTTGTTAATTTTGTATCGGTTTTGTTTTCGTACAAAATTAATATATAAATTTATTTATTTTTTTGCCTTATCTAGTCTTATCCTATTACTATTACTATTACTAGTAGGTGTTGTAGCTCAACAACTATTGACTTGTACCACTTTGTTTCTTTTTCTTTTTTCTTTTTTTTTTTCTTTTTAACTGGTTTCTTTTTAACCGCTGAGACTTGTACCGCACGCCAATCTCTAATGAATACCTTACCGGGAATAGCGATGTCTCGTTTGGTCGTTTTGGACAGGTGACCCGACCCGGTTCATTGACGATCTACAACAAAATTCCCTGCACATGGGCTGCCCCTGGACCATTGATTGTCGAATCGGGGGAGGGCCAACCATAATTTGCTGACATATGTTCCAAATCAGAGTCGTTTACCCTTATATCATTATCATATCAGGACTTGACAACGGTAACTTGGAAATAAATTTGGTACCGTACTTCTAATTGTTACTATTTTAATGGAAATTTTTATAATTTTTATGGGTTATTTTTTAATTACAAAATTTATTACTTTTGTTAATGATTTATCACTTTTATGAATATTTTTACTGTATTTGTAGTAACTATTTTTATCACTTTTTTTTTGTACAAATAAATTTATCACTTTTATGAGTGTTTTTACTACATTTGTGAATATTTTTACCATATTTATGAATAATTTTATTACTATGATGGTAATCATTTTTTTGGAGGTACCACAATAGTGGTAAAAAAAAAAAAAATCTACAAATGTGATAAAAATAATCACAAATATAATAAATAAAGTTGTAGTATCAAAAAAAAAAAAAAAAATTTTAAGATACCATAGTCAAATCGATCGTATCAAGAAAGAAAACACTAAAAAAGACCTTGGCCAATCCACATAACCTGCTTCACGAACGTCAGCAACGGAAATATCGTACATTAATTTACGGGTATCGTGATAAATCCTTTATCCTATTAAAGGTGCCACGATAAACTTTATCAAGTCTGAACGATTGTCGAGCACCAGATTGGAACTCAACCAAAGCTCAATTTGTAATATTAATTACTTGAATAAAGATTTTCAATATTTTAATTTTTTTTTAACAGTGAAGGTGTCTAGATCAATTTCTACGTACCTTGACCAATCATCTCTCCGTTCTAATCAAAAACAAGTCATCCACGTCAAAATTAGGGTATCCATGAAGGATAAATCTCTCATGACTTGATCCTAAAATATTGTTAAAATTCAAAATTAAGACATCTAAATTTATAATTCATCCATGTTATCACTTAAACTATCAAAAGTTTAATAATTCCATTAAACTTGAGCAAAAATATCCAATTAGATTTGAGCAAATATTCGAATGGAGATCTCGAGTTTTCAAGGCCCAACCTACGTTTTCTGTTTCCTGAATCCAACCCAAATGACAACTCTAGTTGTGCAAGAATTAAAACCGAGGTGGGCCAAATTTGAACACAAATTTCAATCAAAGTTGTATAAACCAAATACTACTCGAGTACAAAAATTTAACAATGTACAATAATCGGATCGAAATTAGGTTAGGATTGAACTCGAGTTGAGAAATTAAAAACTTAGATTGAACAGTTGCACCTCTATTATATAGTAAGAGCAACAACAATTACACAAAAATAACAAACTAAAGGGCATTCTTTTTGAAAATTATCTCTAGCTCTTTGGATGTGTAACACAAGACATACAGGTACCTCCATGTTTCACAGTACCTGGTGGTAACTGACTAACTGCAAGTTAACAAATGAATGGAAAATGTGTCACTGCAACTGCTTTAAAATGACAATCAAAGCGAAAACTGTACCCGTTCGCCATTTAACATAGTGAAGACTCCACGGGTGGTAGTCGGAATTAAGAACCCTACAAGGTGGTGTGCTAACACAGGAGGAGAAGATACTTCTCAGCTTAGAAAAATTTCCATGGAATCATTGTCATTTCCAAGTCATGTCCAAGAACACTAAGGGCTTAGAAGCCAAAGAAACCTAGTTCACTGGCTTTTTCCTTCTCAAATGTCTCAAAGTACTGATAAATAATTGTAACTGCAAGAAGAATTCCGGTCCCTGACCCAATTGCTCCCATGAAGTCCGCCAACACTGTTAATGCGCCGATGCAGATACCCCCAAAAGCAGCTGCAGTGGGTATGTAACGATTCAGTTCCTTTTGTAAATTTGAATCACGATGTCCCGGCATCACCATTTGTTGCTCCTGCAGAAGCATATCAGGAATTGAAGATCCAAACTTAAGAAAACCATTATATGACTTTTTTTTAATGATTCTAGAGAGCTCGTATACACATTTTAATGTTGATAGAAGAAAAGCAATTTTGCTGAGCACAATTTGTTATCAGTTCAATGAGACTCTCTTAACCTTGTTAGAAATTTCCAATCACATAATAAGATTAAAAGATCTATTATTCAATCACAAAATTGGCAAATATGTCAGATTGATATTATGATTAGGAGTTAAAATGCATTATATTCGAAACACTATACTTCAGAAACTATTTGATTCAAAAGATACAAAGCAACCCACTAACAAGTTCTCTACCACTATACAATTGCTTTAACACAATTTCCTGATAAGCCTACATTAATTCTTCCACGAAATAGGTCCCAGGTCTCATAAAATAAGCATATATAACCACTTCTCGAGCATAATGAAACAGCCCAAAGCAGTAACCTGTTTCCCACAAATTCACGAGGCCCCCATGTCTGATGTGTGCAAATAGCAAGTAAGTTGGCACAAAACTCTGCTAAAAAGTTAAATAGGATTGTCTCCAAAATTTCTACCTGATGACTGATCTCATGGAAGGTTCCCATCTACTAAAATAACTGCCATTAAGCTATTTATTTTGAAGTTGATAAAAGGTTCAGAAAAAACTTATCAGAGAATAACACAAAAATCAAATTAGCTCGCAATCAAAGTTCCCAGATAAAAAGAACAATCAACTAATGTCCTCAGAAATCAGAACCAACGCAGAATAAAGGAATCGTACTATTAAAGAACTCATCTAGCTTTACCTTGAGTTGCTTGGCCACATCTTTGGCAGAAGATCCAGAAACTTCGATCCAAGTCTTTGAGAACAATGCACAGGCTGACAGCATAAACACCAAATAGAAAAGAGCATGGAAGGGATTGGCTGCCATATCTGCCAAGCTGAAATACGATCCCAATGATTAAAGGAAAATTATTCAGCAATTAAACTAGAGGACACAGAAAGCAAAACGTGTAAGACATAACATATCTCAGCACCATAATTTTTCGTTTTAAATGAAGTAATAAAATTGAATGGTTAAAATGAGAAATTGAACAAAGACGATTAAAATTTTATTACCTTGATGGTGCAGTGACGTAGTAAGCAAGACCACCAACGGGAACAGATTGACCTGAATATTCAGATTCCTGCCACTTGCCCAACAAATTTACCAAGAAATTTCCACTGTACCTCCGGTGCAGCAACTGTACAGAAAGAAAATGATTTTATATTGTCTGCAACAATTTGGACAGTAAACGCTACGATTTCACTTAAAAATATAAAAAAAAAGGACCTGGGAGATAAAATAAAGGTTTGATACAAGTGCAGACTGAAGAATGATAGGCATGTTGGAGGTGTAGAATAGCTTTATTGGGTAAGAGCCTTGTTGTCCACGGGCATTTTTAGACCTCACGGGCAAAACCACACGGAAACCTTGGAAGTAGATAACAATAAGGAAGATCAAGACTGTAGCAAGCAGATTTGTAACATTCGGAAGATTCTGCCGGTAGAAAGCTTCCCGGAGAGCACGAACTTTGTCTGTCCTAGTTATTAGAAGATGGAACAAAGCAATAACAGCACCTTCAAATTCAGCACCACGGCCACTGTTGATAGTTGTAGGGCTAAATGCTTTCCAGATAATACTTTCACTGCAAAATCAACTAAAACATTAGAATATCAATTTCCAGGAAAATATAGCAAACCAAAATGAAGAAAAAGGATAAACATGTTACCAGATATTGGTAGCTATGAATAAGGAAATCCCAGAGCCAAGTCCATATCCCTTCTGGAGAAGTTCATCTAAACATATCACAATAATCCCAGCAAAGCAAAGTTGAACAATTATGAGAATGGCATTCCCTACACCAAGTTGGCCGACACTGCCATACATCCCTGACAGCACATAAGCAACAGCCTCGCCAACAGCAATTAGAATTCCCAACAACTTCTGAGCACCATTTCTGGGGGCAAGAAGAAATATGTCAACCAAACGTAAGAACATGTTCCCAAACAAAACTGGAATAAATGGTAAAAATTAAATCTGGCCCATCATATAAAGCAACAAGGGATGGTACTTTCCACAAACAAAAGAAGTTGCATTGTTTTAATAACTCAGAAAATGGGCAGAAATGCATGTGTGTGTGTGTGTGTGTGTGTCAGGGAGAGGTAAATAATCTGTGGCAGTGACAGTGGCAGTGGCAATGGCAATGCATATGCTTACAGGAGTGCACGATCTTCACGGACACTATTGTCCACTTCAATGATCTTTGAGCCAGCCAACAGTTGCATCACCAATCCAGAAGTCACAATGGGTGTAATCCCTAGTTCCATAACAGTCCCACGGTTGGAGGCAAGAATAACACGCATCCAATAGAAAGGGTCCGCACCCGTGGTAGAGTGTATGCCATATAGAGGGAGCTGACTGCACACCAGAAATATGAAAAGAGAGATCACAGTGTATATCACCTTCTCTCTGAATGGAATCTTCCGATCAGCACTCTGTACTTCTGGCAGAAATGAAAGGAACGGTCTCACCAAATGCAGCACCCTAAATCCCCCTCCTCCCATTTTAACAGCTAAAACAAAAATACCTGCCAACCTGCTTTTCCAACCATTTTCAGTAATCAACAAAACCAAGTAGTAAGTGAACGCAGAGCAGATGCAGTGCGGCATAAACAAACAAAAATTAACACAATAATTACAAGGGCTAATTACACTTTGCCCCAATCAAACTATAAGGTTTATGTCACTTCACTTGCCCCAATCAAACTATGAGGTTTGTGTCACTTTGCCTCTCAAACCTTCAACTATAGTTAATTGTTTCAAATTGCCCCAACGATTAATGTCCATCAGAAAATTGTTTCGCTTTGCTCACTGAACCATGTGATCTTGTTTCCACTTTTCCCTTGACATGTTGTCATTTTTTTGTCCAAAAAATAACAAGCGCTTGCATTTTAACAATATGAAATAATTCGCGTGGTTGAGTTGACGAGGCAAAGTGACACAAACTTCTGGCAAAGGGTAAATAACCATAATTAGAGTACAAATGGATGAATCCAATATTTGGGCTTTCATTGCCGAATTCTTCAACCAGGTCCTTCAGTGGAAATTCAGGAAAAAGTTCGGGTGGACAAAAGAGCATCACATCATAAATTCTATATCAGACAGAGACTTTTCGAACCTTAACGGCTGTCGTGTTTGGCAGAACGGAAATTGAATCTTGCAATAAGAACTGGAACATAGAAAACTTCTACAACATTTGGACCGATTTTACTTCAATTTTTTTCACTTCCAAAACTCATTTCCATGCTGCCAAAGGTAGTGCAAGTGTTGCCACAAAAATTACAACAGAAATTTCTTCTTCTTTTTTTCATTTTTGCGAACAAAACTAATTAACAAACAGATCAGATCTAAAAATCATCAAACCAAATAAAACTACAAATGAATTTAAGCTGGAGATCATGTTGAGAACTCAACAACCAAATTAATCGTATCAATCTTAGTAACAGCTGCCAATGATTATATTTGGATCAGAAAAAGCAACGGAATCTGAGACTTACAGTGAGCGAGATTGATGTGGATCCAAGTTAGACCCCAGAGAACAGATATGGATCTCTCTCTCTCTCTCTTTTTCTAGCGTTTTGTTAGAAACCCGGGCGGAGCGGATCGATCGGTGGGGGCAGACGCGTAAACACGGCCACTACACCAAGGGTCCGTTTGTTTACGAAGGATATAAAGAAAGAAAAATTTTTAAAATTTTACATATGTTTCTTTAGTACGGTTGATTGAAAAAATTATTTTCTTCCGTGTTTAAATTTTCTCCCATTTAACTAACATATTTTTCTTGCAAAAATACACAAAAAAAAAAAAGTAAGAAAGTTGTGTTCAATGACCTAATTTTTTATTGTACCCTTATTTTTTAAAAAATATTCAATTAGTTATTAATTTTAAAAAATTTAATCATATAATTTGATCTAGAGATTAGTGTTTGAATCAATACTTGTCTCTGAATTAGATTATGAGCCAATTTTTTTACAATTTGAATAATAACAAATATTTTTTTTCTTTAGATCAAGTTCAAATAATTAAGGATAATTTAGACAATTAGAAAAAAATTCTTGTAACTTTCATTTCTTTCAAATAATGGAATGAAATTATTTTAAAAGTCTTTAAAAAGTTTTTCATACTAAACAAATGCATGCATAAAAATATATTTTTTTTTACTTTCTTTTTTTTTTACTTCATTTTCTATTATCTTTTTCTTGCTAACCAAACGAACCCTAACTTTTTTTTGCCAAACTAGTTGTTAGATTGGATGAAAGGGTAGTTATTGAATTGGGCAAATCCCATTTTAACCCCTAAAATATTTAAAAATTTTGAATTTATCTCTTAAATGATTATTTTTTTCACATTATTCCCTCAAAAAAATAAAAATGTTGCAATATAGTCTACCGTCTTATTTTTTTTGGTCTTCTGTCTGTTTTGTGTTAAATCAAACAACCAAAAATCACAACATAAACGGATAACCAAACATAAATAAAACGGTAGACCACATTCGCTTTTGTTTTTTTAGGGAGCAATATAAAAAAATTAATATTCAAAAAAAAACTAAAAACTCTTGTATCTTTCGGGTGACAAAGTAAAATTGTTCCTACATAATTATATTACTTATTTTAGTTATTTGTATTTGTTGTTTTTTTTATTGATGATAATATTAGGTAACAGTGATGTCTTGATATCACCGATATGTTTAATATTCTCTCATTTTTTTGTGTGTAAATATAGAGTGCATGTTTAATATAACCGATAAACTACATCAATAATAGCACACAATATCACCGATTAATAATAAAAACAACATGATGAATAGACTTCACTAATCCCACAAAATAATTATAAAATATATTATACATAATTAATGATATTACATAAGTGTGCGTGCAAGATCCTGCACAATATAAAAAACGAGAACAGATCCTTCCCTTGGTGAACTCGAGTGAGCCGGTTGAGTGACCAAATGCGCTGCTTGGAACGGCCTGCCAGGCACGGTGATAACCTAGAACGGCAATGAGAAGTCCTGGGAATGGAAGAACGATCCAGTAAGGCTGAGAGAGGTTCCTGGAACAAAGAAGAACAAGTTAGAAAGGCGCCGGAGTATTTTCCGGCGTATCCCCTCCGACGATCTAGTCAGTCTTTGAGAAAGAGAGAGGAAGGAGAAAACACTGAGAATGTATTGTGGTAGAGAGTTTGTTGTTGCATACCCGTCTTGCCTTTTGCAAGGAGTATTTATACCTCAAAAGCTCATGATTGCTGTCAGTGTGGTTAGTAGATGATCATTAGGTACAGGCGGTGTGTGCACTGATTCTGATGAGAATGTCTTCTCTTCTTAATTGTTTCGGGCCCCGAGCAGTCAATGCTGTGCCATCGGGGCGCCGACGGTACAATGTACTCCTCTCGGGGAGGATGCAATAAATGATCTGTATTAGGAACATTTATTGTCTTTCATTTCCGAGCCTTACCGCATTGAATGCGGTCTCATCAAAGGAATGGTGTAATTAATAGTTTGCTTTCCCAAGTCGCGTGTCAGAAACGGCATGCGTCTTCTCTGTTTCGATGTGATATCATCTGCCACGCGTCCATCTCTTATTGGCTGTGACCCCTGCATTCCAGTACGTTCTGACACTAATTGTGTAAGACGAGGTCATGATGAATAGCCTAGACTAGCCTAGGCTAATGACCTGTACGTCAATAGCTTATCCTGGAGTAGAGGAAGCGTCCAGGACGGGGTACCTCTCGGCACCGAGGAAAGGCTCATCTCGGAACCGAGGGAGGTATACCGACCGAGGTACCATATCAGACCGAGGCTACGTGTTGGTTGTAAAACGTACTGAATGCCATGATCCTATATGACGAGTACCTCGGGGGCGAGGACCTTTGTGCGCCGATGGTGCTTGATCTTAGCAACAGTGTTTTGGAAATACCGAGGACACGTGTCTTCATCATGGAGTATTTCAGAAAAGTCCCATCAACTGCCCCCCAGCCTTCGATCTTCTGACACCGAGGACACGCGTCGTAAGGAGACGAAGGGTTTCCCAACAACCACCAGTACTTCATCATTGCCTCGAGCCGCTTTCCCCGGCTTGGGATGTCGTGCGCATTAAATGCGCCGTTTCGTTTTTCGCGCCCAATGATGAAAATTGCCTCTATATAAAGGGGGCTCCTCTTCCGTTTTCCTTGTTTTGCCATTTCGAACTTCCTCAAGAGAGCCTCTTCTTGAATCTTCGCCGGAGTTTTGTTTCTTCTTCCATCATCGACTGCCCATTCTTCCTTAAAATCTTAAAGCCAGCAGACCCATCGTTGATTCTGAACTTTCTGGAGGGAGTCGCTTTAAGGTTTTCCAGAAAAAACTCCGTTTTGACATTCGGGTGAGTTTCAGAATCCTCCTTCTTTTCTTCCTCCTATCCTTTTGTTTTTCGATAACTGGAGGTGTCTCCGGTTTGATACATAGCGATTTAACCCTCGGGAAACTTCCTCAGGGATTTTCAAGAACAAATACCCTCTTCTTTCTTACTTTTTTAGAGATGCCTCGTCGTCGCCCTGCTCCCGAGAATCCTCAGGCTGGTCCTTCGGGGTCGGGGAAATATAAAGTAAAGGGTGGTGAGCAGATTGATAGGTTTAAGGTCAAGTACGACATTCCCCCGTGCGTAGACGTAGAGGATTATGACCCTGTGTTGCACTCTTCTACCCTCGGGGCCGAGGATGCCATGCCCTTTTATACCAAGGCCATAATAGAGGGAGAAATTAGGTTTCCTTTACCCCCCTTACTTCTTCAGTTCCTTTCTCACTTTCGTCTCTTCCCCGGGCAATGTTGCCTTAATATTTTTCGAATAATTATGGGGGTCTTAGAGCTCAATAGGCGCCTCGGGGTAAATATTAGGCTCAACAATCTCCTTTTTTGTTATTCCCTCCTGAGAGTCATGCCCCACCAACACTTCTATCTCAAAGCCAGGAACCCCTCCATGTACCTTGTAACTCATCTTCCTGACTCGAACAAGGGGTACAAGGATGATATTCTTATCTTCAAGGTATCTTGGTAGAGAGGTGTTGGTCCCGAGTATAATAACTTGTTATGCCCTCTGGAATGGAGAACGACAAGTACGTCGGTTCCTTTGGGTTTATTATTTCTTTCTCCAGACTTCCCATGTTCATGACTATTTTGTTTGTGCAGATATTCCTGCTCGGGAAACAGCTCCTCCCCCTCGGTCGCAGGTGAACTTTGTCGACCTAATCACGGTTTAGAGATTCACGGGTGACATCGGGTTTGGCCGTGCTGCTCACATCCTGCTGAATTATACCCCCGGGTATAAGAAATTTTCACAGCTTCCTCAGCCTTTTGAGCCTTCGCGGTGGTCTGAACTCTTCGATCAGGCGGCGAGGCTAGAGTTTAAGGAAAACTTGGAGGAAGACCCGGATCGGGCTTCGGAGGCAGAGGTAGAGGGAGTTGCTGAAGAGCTCGGGGTCAGAGAGGACGTTGTTCCTTCGGACGCCGAGGTGGGGACTTCGGGAGGAGACTTGTGGCCAGACTTCCAAGTCCTACAATCTTTAGACGCCGAGGACGCCTTCGAGGTAGCGATGTCCAGCACCCCTCGCATTGATCTGGGTTTCCTAAGGCAAAGGCAAGCCCTCGCAGCCGGGAGGGGTCGAGGAACGACCGGTGCCACCCCCTCTACAGGGACCAATTCCACCCCATCCTCAAGGGTCCTCGGTCGGGGTCAGGTGCGAGACCGGGATCCTCAAGTGGAGGAGGAGAAAAGGGTCAAACATCGGCATGATGGCCTCGGCCGAGGATCCAGGGCACCTTCCGCTCAGCAGCAAAGCGGGAGAGGCCGTGGGTTACCCCCTGCTCCTCCACAACAGCAGCAGCAGCAACAGCCACGACAACAGCAACAGCAGACTCCCCCTTCCCTTCCGCCGACAGTGGAAGCCGCGGAGTGGAATCTCCGAGCGACCGATCACATGAACCGAGTGATCAGGGTCGATGATTCCATTCTGCTGGATCCTCATGTCGCCAATGCAGTGAGTGAGACACTGCATTTCGAGGCTGACATGGCGGCTCATAGGGGGCGTTCAACGAACGTGTTGTTCCGCTCCATCATCCAGAATTCCCTGGTGGTAAGTTCATTTCTGCTTTGGTTTCTTCTCTCTTGCTTTCCATTTTTGTGATAACACTTTTTTCCCCTCCTTTGCAGGCTACCCAGCAGATCTCCATAATAGCTGCTCGGTACCATGGGTCTAGGATGGACCTCCAGCGGGCCCGAGATCAAAAGGAGGAGGCGGAGGCGGCCCTCGCCGAGCAATGGAAGATGTAGCTGCCAGGGATTCTACCCTGGCGGGGCAGGCTGCTCAAATCGAGCAACTCCTCAAGGACGCCGAGTCGACTAAGGTTGGCGCTGAAAAGCTAAATGCTGCCCTTACCGATGCTGAGGGGAGGATAACTGAGCAGACGCGACGGCTTTCTGTTGCGGAGGAGAGGGCGGTAGGCTCAGAGGAAAGCTGTCTGGCTCTTACCCAAGAGCTGGACCGGATCAGTGCCGAGGCACTGAACAGAAAATCGGAGGAGCAACTTCGGGAAGAGTTTGCCGATGACGTACTCCCTGCTCTTGAAGAAAACAGCAAGGATTTCTTCAAGAAAGGGTGGGACGAG